TCGATATTCTATTGATTTTTTGAAGACCATAAAAACTTTATCGAAGCCAAGATTTCGATTTTCTGTACTGGTAGCAAAAAAGAAGGAAGACCTTATTGACCCCTAAAAACTCTGCAATTGGGATGAAAAACCAGATGCCTTTGGTCACTGCACCATGTTTGGTCCAGTTCCAGCAATTTGCACACGTGCACTGTACTTTACAGTTCCTTTTGTTCACGGAGATTCTCGACCATTGCTGAGCAATGTATTGATCACCCATCAATCAATGAATCAATAGCAATCATAGAGACGTCTGTCACCAATGGAAGGGCGTGATTGCGTAATTAGTGACGTGAAAATAGATTGGCCATATGCTACACTCAGCCACGACGATTTTCAATGACGATTAGAGGGCCTAATGTTTTCTTAGATGCTGACCCGAACCCAAGGGTTCGATGTTTCCAAGAAATCCTCGTCAGGGAATAAGTCCAAACCTCTAAAACTCTTATCAAGGCATGGTATCAATGGTCTCGACAGCGCTTTCGATTCGGCTTAGCGGGTTGTTCAAAAAGGAGATTGGTGACCCAGCCGCGTAGGAGCAGCTGTTTTTAGGCCGACGCCTAAGTTACGTAATGTGAATAATGGAGGTGACGTTGTGAGACGGATTATAAAAGCGCCCGTATAAACAGTGTTGTATAAACACACACAGCGGTACGCCTAAGCGATACCGTATCAACGACGTACCGACGTCATCAATGCCTTCCTCTTGCATCTAATCCGCCGTTATCAGGAATTTGAAGGGTGCAACAGTATGGGAACGGAATGTAGAGGACACCTGTTGCGTACGGAAATCGCTGATATTGTTACTTCGAGGGATTTCTGAGGCTTTTGTAATCCTAGAAAAATAGTGGAGCGTGAAAAACGCTGTTGTTTTTTTTTTTCATTAGACAAAGCACCTCAAAACATATCGATTTTTCCCAAGGCATTATTACTATGTGATTTTGGTTCTTCCTTCTACATTGTTCGGCCCTCTATTGTAGTGAAAAATTGGCACCTGGGTAAGAAGTCCACCTTTAGTCACTGTGTCTGAAGAAAAAAAGAGGCTTGTCAATTCAAACACTGAAAGACTCTACTGATTTTTCAATTTTGTGCGGTCTACATGCAAAATGTTAAAACGGCCAGAGTCCATGTATTCCTCAAGTGTGCGCCATGTATTCGGAATCTTAACAGATTCGTAGAGGCATTTGAAGCCAACTTTGTCTGTAGAACAAGTTGCGGAGTCCTTCGCGTTTTTGAGAAGCCCCTGATAGCAAAATAACCCGTCCCACTATAATGATAAAACCTTTAGCTATTCAAGTGTTGGAAAATAAGCCATACTAAATATCCCCGCAAAATTTAAAGGGTGAGCCGTCTTCCCGTCCCAGAACTCGTGGCGTCTATACACAGCCTGCTAAGGAACTAAATATGTGCTTAATAGGTAGCCTTTGTTTTAGCGATGTATCGAAAGTAACGGACGGGTCTTGAATTTTTGCTTAGATCGTTTGTTTTTTTTGAGATTTTGAACACTTTTCTTCGACAAGCCGTGAATTTCGATGGTTGCTGCATTTTTTAGTGGAGTCTTCCTGTTTTCTTGCAGTGCCTCTTTTGAATGAACGTCGCGGGGAACACTCTTTGGCCTTGTCTCACTAAGAGTATGTTATTAGGTATTCATTGCGAAAAATGTCACAGATAAGAGCTGAAGATGAGCAGCGAAAGAGCACGTGAAGGGTGGAGATCGAAACAAGCGGAACAGAGCAAGATGGATGTGTAGCAGAACGTAGCAAGCACTGCGATTAGTATGACATGGCAGTGATTTGAAGGATGGCATAGGATTTTTTAAGCCTCTTCTTGCTTCGTGTTTCGCGTTCACTCATCTACCTTCTCTGAAGGATCTAATTTGGATCTTCTTGGCTTTCTCCTAATGACTTGACCGGATACCTCTTCGGATGGCCGAATCCAATCGTGTCACCGGAAGTATAGGCCGCAGTCGAGTCGCCTCGTCGGCCAGCGTACCTAATAGACTTCGTTAATTTCGCCTGGATTCCAAGCGAAAAATGCCGACCATCAATCGGACTGCCATTAAGGGGGACGCCGAGAGCCACGCAAGAATCCTTTGTGAAAGCCTCTGAAGTCACCTTCCAAGCTAAATGCTTTTGAAATTTAGTCCCTTCTAAGAGGTTATGACTTTTGGTTTCGCAACCAGTGTTCCAGTGAGTGTTCCTGAGGTTTATGGAATATCAAATAAGGCGTGTTCACATTTCCAAATCGCATTTTGCATACGCTCACCGAGAGTGGCTGTCACTCAACCAGAACGCCCATGTCTGTCATCGGGAACGTTCACTGACGACAAGTGAGAGCTTGAGAAGGACAATCGGACAAAGGGCTGAGTCCATGAAGGAAGTGCGCTAGACCGTCGGTAAGGGGTTTTGCTGGTTAGGATAGGGTGACACAGCAATCGAGCCTATGCTTTTTACTTCCAATAGCCAATAGATTTTGTCCAAGGAACAGTAATTTATCACGGCTACAGTATCGTCTTACTTGCGTGCCGGTAGCAGCTGGTCGAGCGGACGTGAATTTGCGCCAAATTGGTGCTGGACGATGTTGCTATTCGTCATTTGGTGCCGTCAGTTCGTCACTTTTGAATGGCAGCTTCACGCGACACATTTGGCACTGCATTGTCGATGGGCTTCAAGGACCTATGTACGTATAGCGCGAGATTCTGTTTCTCAAATAGGGCCAAGTAGGGGAATCTACAGGATTCTCTGAGCGTGAAAGTTGTTGCTTCACTATGGTGTAGTGGTACGTTCTGTACGCAACCTAGGTAGGCTCTCTACATCTGCGCTTTTCAGGGCTCGGAGACAGGGTCAATAGTCGGGTTGGATCGCTTTTAATAGTGGGTACCAGGTCACACTCCAGCTCTGACCCAAAATTCCCTCCACAAATGCCGTCGAGTGATAGAGGAGGGGTAGGGGTAAGTATCACCACTTAATGAATAGGGGAGGGGTAGGGGTAAGTATCACCATCTAACGGAATTAACCACAAACGCTGTAAATTCGCTTAATTCAGGCACTTTTCGTGCCCATTCCGTCAAAATTGTAAAAAAAATCATAGAAACTCGACCTACAACTGTGACCATTCACCTTCCTTTGATAAGACCCCCCACACCCCACAAATGATCCAGCAGAGATTGATTGGTTTGTCCTACTTGTCCCTCATTACCGCACAATCCTCTAAGAGTATTCTTGATTTTTTGAGCTCTTTTGCGCTAAATTTCGAAATTCCCATTGAATCTCACAGGTATCAGATTGCCATAAGGGTTCCATAAAACAGCATTCTCCAAGTACTAGAACAATATTATAATTCTCTTTGAGATATAGCGCGAAGAAAAGCATTTATTGAGCCGTTTTGTCCCTTGCCAAACATCAGCCTCTCCCGTAAATGACTAATTGAGTAGGATTGTCCCAGGAGGATCCTTGTTTTCAGTTCGAAGATAAAGTAATGAGCATCCAAACAGCGGTCACCACAACAAAATCAGCAATTTAGTGGAAACAATTGAAGTTTTGATGGAATGCTTTTGGACGAATTGTTTTTTGAATGCAAACGACAACGAGCGCTTTTCAAGGGTTCCTATGGGGTGAATGAACTCGTGAAGCATCTTACGAGGTCAACTTCGTCGATAGGAGACTTTTGGTTTTCCATTTCCAATTGAAAATTGGCCTGGCCTTGAAATTGAAAAAGTTCATTATAATGAGCTCGTTGCTTGAATAATTGTTCGAGATTTTTTCTTGCTCAAAGATGCGCCACACATTCGACTTTCGTATGGTTGCATAAAGATGACTGAATGTGTGCAAGGCCAAGAAATAACTTGCAGTATTGAGCCATATATCATTGCGTTTAATTACTTCAAATTAATAAACAGCCAAATAAATAAACTA